TAAATAATATTTAATTATAACAAAGTAATAACAATATAATAATAATATTATTATTAATATTAATATAATTATAAATTAGTTGCAGCTTTCTGTGTAAGGTTATTGTGATATCTAAAAGAAAAAAATAATAACTTTACCGTAGCGATATAAAATTAATTCAGAATTAAGAATCTGATATTTAGTGAACAAGAAAAAATGAATAATCAGTATATCGACGGGGCTTTTGAATGATGCCTCTCTGAGATCGATCCAATATAATATCATATATAATTACATATATGAATGAGTAAAAAAAAAAATAAGCGATCCGTGAGTGGCCGCATCTCTTTTTTTTCTCTTTTTTTTTTTTTTTTTTCGTTCACTTTCTTCATAAACGAGGTTAGAACGACAATCTTAGGCCTCGTCAAAATACTGCCGGATACATGAGGACGTTCCGAAAATCGATTGCGAAGTAACAAGTTGAAAATTTTTCTGCAATTATAACTTCAATATCAATAATGAAAAAGAAAGCAAAATGAAGGAAAATGGCGAAGAAAAAAATTTTTGCAATCCATTCGATTATTCGGAAAGTCCATTTTGCATCTGGATCAATCCGTCCATTATATGTCTCATGCTGAGGCATTTGCACAAATGCGTGCATATTAATCATTGGGACTACAAAAACATATCATCATATGTAATGGTAATGATACCGCATATATATATATATATGTATACATATATATGCACATATATTTATACATATATATACATATATATATATTTAAAAAATATTAAGCAATAAGATTTTATTTATATGCCCGTAGAAAAAAAATTGAATGAACAACTGCATATCAATACGTGTGTCTGGGCAAGGATTAGCTTATACACAATATATATGTATATATATATATAATTAAAATATAATATATATATATATATATATATATATATATATATATATATATATATATATATATAGTATATATAATCTTTACTTCGTCGTTGTCAGGCGTTAATGTTAAACTTAATTATCATTAATTAATTATTAGATTATGAAAGAATTTCTTCAGGTTCTAAGCAAGATTTGGAAATAATAAAACAAGTAAAATATATGATTTCAAGTATTTTTTTACTGTTCCCTGTTTATTATCCTTATTTATTATAAATATTAATTTAATTCTTTTTATTTCAAAATTTTAATATTGTTTATTTAAAAATCAATTAATATTGTAGCACAAATTAATTAATTATTTTAATTAATAAAAAAATTCGTTCATATATAAAAATTTGTATTGTAAAAATATACTATGTGTGTATATATATTAAAATATATGTAAATACTTACATGCATTTTAAATTTTCCATATTGGCTGTACGATGGCGCTAGTGAAGAAAATTACCATCTCATATAAATTTGGCGGTAAATCTAGCATAAGTATTCAATAACTAAGTAATTACTCAGATACAAATTATTTCATTAAATTTAATATTTTTTAATTAAAAATGGTTTATAAAAGTGAAGAAGAATGTAATGATTTATTTATAAAATCAGAAAAAGAGAAATCACAAGTATTTAAAAGAAAACGAGCTCAATATAAAGATCTTTCAGAAAAGTTCGCGATAACAAGAAGTGATATATATTATATATATATATATAATAATAATATATATATATATATATATATATATATATATATATATATATATACATATATATAGATATATAATCTTTACTTCGTCGTTGTCAGGCGTTAATGTTAAACTTAATTATCATTAATTAATTATTAGATTATGAAAGAATTTCTTCAGGTTCTAAGCAAGATTTGGAAATAATAAAACAAGTAAAATATATGATTTCAAGTATTTTTTTACTGTTCCCTGTTTATTATCCTTATTTATTATAAATATTAATTTAATTCTTTTTATTTCAAAATTTTAATATTGTTTATTTAAAAATCAATTAATATTGTAGCACAAATTAATTAATTATTTTAATTAATAAAAAAATTCGTTCATATATAAAAATTTGTATTGTAAAAATATACTATGTGTGTATATATATTAAAATATATGTAAATACTTACATGCATTTTAAATTTTCCATATTGGCTGTACGATGGCGCTAGTGAAGAAAATTACCATCTCATATAAATTTGGCGGTAAATCTAGCATAAGTATTCAATAACTAAGTAATTACTCAGATACAAATTATTTCATTAAATTTAATATTTTTTAATTAAAAATGGTTTATAAAAGTGAAGAAGAATGTAATGATTTATTTATAAAATCAGAAAAAGAGAAATCACAAGTATTTAAAAGAAAACGAGCTCAATATAAAGATCTTTCAGAAAAGTTCGCGATAACAAGAAGTGATTATTCTAAACAATTTGCCCATATATATTCTGCTAGACTTGCTGAATTAAGAGATATTTTAATTCCACGTGTCCAAACTAAATGGGGTATGTTATTAATTTTTCTTGTGAATAACATATTTTATCAAGGTTATGATATTCATACAGTAAAAGATATATGCAAAGATTTGTTTATGAATTATGTAGATCTATATCTTTTTCTCCATACACAGAAAATGTTCCTATTATAAAATTAGCTGATTTAGAAAATTTAGAAGGTCAACAATGTATACTAATTGGTACACTATATAAACATCAACAATGGAAACCATCAATTTTACGAGAACTTAGTGAAGATCATCAACTTAGTCTCTCTTGTTCTAAATCAGATTATTGTTCAGAAAAAGATCAATCATTTCTAGAAGATGAAATGTTACGTATTAAGTTAGTGGGTGACCAAGTTAATTTAAAACAAATTGTTACTGGAGTTGTTTGTGCTATATTAGGCAATGAAAATAATGATGGAACATTTATGGTAATATTTTAATTCTAAAAATGATATGATTATCATTAACATTATATCTTTAAATTATATTTTTAATATAATTTATTATATTTAGGTAAAAGATTGGTGTTTTCCTGGATGTGCACCAAAAGAATCTTTAAAGGAACATATATCGCAAAAAAAACTGGTAATAGTATCTGGATTAGATTTATCTAATAATTATAAAAGTTTGGGAATATCTCTCTTTTTAGAATGGTTATGTGGAATGGCTGGTAATACAACAATACAAAAAGATAATACTTCTATTGTTTGCCTTATTATAGCAGGTAAATCATACATATTATTCTAAAAATTTTATATATATGTATATGTATACATATATATAATTTATTTTTTATTAGGTAATATCACAAAAAGTAGTGATATAATGAATACTAATACAAAACTTGGAGATATAATAAAGATTGTGGATACATTTTTAAGTAATTTAGCAATGTGTTGTAATATTACCTTGATGCCAGGAGAACATGATCCTACTAATGCTATGTTACCACAAAAACCATTTCATCCTTGTTTATTACCTAAATCATCCAGGTTTATATATATATATATATATATATAAAATCTTATATACAAAATATTTATAATATATATAAGTGTATATTCATTCTATTTTTATATTTATATAGATTTGAAAGTTTTAAAAGTACTACAAATCCATGGATTGGTAAAATTGAAGAACGAATAATAATTGGTACTAGTGGTCAATCAATTGAAGACATCATAAAAGTAACAGGTGAAACTAATATTTCACCTCTCGAATGGCTAGAAAAATCTTTGCTATGGAGGCATATGTGTCCAACTGCTCCAGATACATTACTAGCTTGTCCATATTATGAGAAAGATTTGTTTATTATAAAAAAATGTCCGGATATATATTTCGTAGGAAACACAAATAAATTTGAAACAAAACTATGGAAAGGTTTGTAAAATATACTATTGTAAAATATTTTTAAAAAATAAATTAATTTTTATTTCGATTAAAATTAATTAAAAAATTAATTTTCAGGTGAAGAAAACCAAATCGTTAGATTAATATCTGTTCCGCGTTTTGATATGACTTATACTGCTGTGATAGTAGATTTGGAGAATTTGGACACCCAATATATTTCTTTTAGTAATACTTAAACTATAAACATATTAATGTTTGTCATCTAATATTATATTATTTTATTATAATTTAATATAAATTAAATTTTATATGAATATATATATATATATGTCAAAAATTTTCAAATAAAATACAAATAAAAAGAAAATTATACAGAAATACGTTCGTCTTCATTGTATTTATTTCATATATTAACTTTATTTAAAATTTTATTTAACATATTTGATTTAATTCGTGATATTACTTAATACAAGTAATGAATAAGAAACATGTTCTATTATTACCTGTTTATTTCATTCAAAATGTGATGTACAAAATCTAAGCGCATGACTTTTAAATATAGGTATGTTTGTGACTAAATATAAAATATGTGATAAGAAAGAAATTACATGTAATATCACAGATTATTAGAAAATTATGAAATCACAGCGACATGAGATTTTGAAAACATAACTTGTTACTTAAATAAACATGAATTCATGCTTTATAAATTATAAATAATTAGAACATAACAGTCAAAATACAGAATACAATTATTTTTTGCTAACAAAATATTATGTATAATTCATTTTCAGTATTTAATTTTTCTATAAGAACTAAAATGTACTAGGTATATTATCCTTCTGTAATTCCATGTTCTTACCTGCAGATTACATAAAAGTAGAAATGTAAATTATTATATGCATATTTTTAAATTTTATAAATGAACTGTTTTTGACTGTTATACGAGATGTAAAAATTATGAAATCATTTGAAGAAATGAACAACATAAAAGAAATTAAATATATAGATATAACGATGTACACAATGTATAAGACTACATACATTATTATATGTGTTCATAATAGCTGAATGTTTTCAATTATTATACAATGAACATCGTCGCAACTAGAAAAAATATGCAACATCGAAGGATAATGCTACAGAACATTTCAGTTGGCACTTTTATTTAACGAAAAAGTTTGATTATAATATAAATACACTTTTTATTTTTATTTTTTTTTTTTTTTTTAATATAAAATTGCCTAATTCTGTTCATATGAGATTCTAACTTTTGAAGGACTATGTCCCGTTTTATCAGTTATAACAGTGAAAGAAAAATATAACAATATCCTTATCCTAAATAAAAGGATGATAATCCATACAATTCTAATACTTTGGCCGAAATAGAAATACTTAAAAAGCAATCATTAAGGTTTCCCATTAATTTAAGCAGAATGAAGTTATAAAATTTATATTTATAATACACTTTACAGATTCATAATACCATTAACTTAAGGTGCATGTTACATGACCGACAGGTATATATAACAATTGACAGGTAGCTTCTGCATATAGTAACGACGTAGACATACTGTATGTATTAAAGGTTTTATCCTATCTCTTAGCCGTCGGACGTATTCGTTCCTTTTCAGTATCCCTATCGTCACCTACTGTCCATTCAGGATCATTGGGATCCTCACCCTCTATGTCACAACAAGCTGATTCTGTCGAATCTGATTCTGGAGAATCCATTTCCCCATCCTAGAAACGAATATTAACGCCTATCTAAATATTTATGAAAGACTATTTTTTTCAACGATTATTCTGCATATATTACAAAAACTATATTTAAATGTACAAGCTTGTAACAGCTGAAAAAAACAATCAGCGAGCTAATTCATCAAAATATTCTAATGCTTATAGAACTCATGTACAAATGCAATGCAGTTTCTTTTAAATATTGCTAAAATAAAATCAATCGTGTTTAAAATAGGAAGCATCAAATGACACTGCTTACCAGAGTTAGCCTCGAGGAGCCATGAAAGTTGGCTCAAAGTATTGTATTAATAATCAGTACGACCATTCAGATATTTTTTTTTTCTTTTTGTAATAAAAAATTCTGACTTAGATAATTAACATTTAAACATTTAATACAAACACAGTGTACGTACATCATCTGCTTTTTCTTCATCACGGGAACAAAGAGATGCTGATGAAGGTTGCCAATGACCATCTGGCATTACTTCCAGCATTTTATCATAAACTTCTTCAGATAATGGAAATACTCTTGGTTCATACGGTAAAATCTAACAAAAAAATTATACATAATTTTCTTTTAAAATATTTTATATTGCACTTTTTTATTAATAATTTAAATAAATCAAATCAAAATATAATACCTCATTTTCATCTTCATTTATTGAAATATTAGTGTCGTCCTTTCCTATTCTTAACGTAGGTGTAGCACGACGTCGTATAGCATTTTGTAAAGCAGATGATCGATGCATATTATCTGAATTATGTTGATGTTCTGAATCTTGAACTTGAGGAGTTGCAGGAGGTGATGTAATTGGTGACATCATATCTCCACCAAAATCACTTGCATGTGGAGACATAGGATCTAATAATTAAGAAATAATTTATAATTTATATATTCATATTATCTGTATCTTTATAATTTTTTTTTTTTACTTAACTTTTTTATCTAAATCAAAAAAAATTAGTAAATTATAAATTAAAATTACCTGGTGTATTCGCACCACTATCTGCTCGACTATCTGTTCTACGATTATGCCGAATACGTGATTGATGTGGCATATTCATATATGTCATAAAACGTTTATTTTCTTCTCGTTCACTTCGTTCATGTCTTAAAGCAATAGTTTCGTCTGACATATCTTCGAACTAAATAAAATATATAGACATTTTTAATTTTATTATAAGATTATATTTATATATAAGATTCTTTATAAAATTTTTATATTTATATAATTAAAACATACTTACATCACTGTCTTGACTAGGCCTATGCATAACACCATTTTTAATATCCAATTTTGAAGGTTCTTCACATAACCTCCACCTTATTTTGATGAAAAAAAAAAATTGTAATATTAATAATTATTCACTAAAATATTATAGAAAATTATTCATTAAAACTAGAGATAGATAGAAACCTAATTTTGATTTATATTGATTATAATTTTTGTAAATTATTTATTCGAATTGTTATTTATCTACATTTTACTTGAAAGTTACTAATTATAAAAATAATAATAAGTTGAGAAATTCAAATTCGAAATTTTTTGAATTTCTGAGAATTTCAAGGTTTCGAATATCTCATTTCTAATTAAAATTACTTACTTTGGTGTTAATATTTCTTTATATTGTAATTTTTCAAGCCTAGTTGAAGCAGCTACACTATAAGGTATAACTATATTATCAATATCGTACGAATTTTGCCTCAAGCGTCTGTAATAAAATATTTAGTAATATAGTAATAACTTTAATTATATGTTTATATATAGTTTTATTAAATTTTATAATATTCCTATTAATTACTAACCCATGAGAATTCTTTTCTTTAATTGTATTCTTTTCTGTAGTAGAAGCAATAGTATGATGTAAAGGAGAAGACACTGGAAATGAATGTTTACTAGAGCTGGAAAGTGCACTAATATCATCATCATCTTCAGTTGTTAATTTCTGCACCCTTTTTCTACTTAACCCATGAACACTTCTATCATGACCAAGTCTATTTCTTTTTCCTTTCAACATTTTTTTCTTAATTCCTATAAAAACAAAATCAATGATAATAAGAATAATAATAATAATATTATAATAAAGAGAGATCAAATAAAACAATTAACTTTTATAAATAAATTAGTTATTTATCTAACTTTTAAATCATTTCTTTTTAAGTTGACTTTTACAATAATATATTTTAATTTTATTATTGTAAGAATTATTAGTATGAACAATTGTTTTATGTTTTATTAGTTATATAATTATTATATGTTTAATAGTAATATATTTAAAAATTCTGAAGACTCATATACTTTTAAATAAATATTTAAAATACAAATACGAATTAAGAATATTTTTTTAAATTATATTTATTTAAGAATATTAGATAATAATATATCAATTATTTAGCTATTTTGTTTATGCAAGAGTGAAATAATAACTGCAAATAACTGCGTATTTTGTGATTTCTCTTTGAATATGAAACTTTTAAAAATATACATTTTTTTTATCAATTTTAAAAAAAAGCATAATTTCCCAAATTTTTTTATTTTTCTTACAAATGTTTATATATAAATAGAATTTTATTGAATAATTTTTTTTCAATTTCAGATCTATTTACATCTCAATATTTCGAAGAAATTTACATATCATTCATTACATATCAATTTTAAGTATTTTAAAAGCATAATAAATGTTTTTAATTAACTAAAATTTTTTTCAAAAAATTTTCAAAAATGTTAAAATTCTTTATTTATACAAAGATATATGGAATAAAAATTTCAGTAAATATACTGTATTTAACAATTTTTTTTAAATAGAAAAGATTATATACTTATAAAATTATTTCATATTTCAATTGATTGAAAATTTTATTAGTTTCACTCAACTCCTATTCGTAAATGAATATCATTGTGAATTTTTCTATTCATAATGAATACAAATATAAATACACAAATAGTAAAAAAATATAAAAATTCTTCAATATATATATACATAATGTATACATAATATATAACATAATATTTTCATAATATTGACAATTACATACTTGCAGTAAGAATACTTGAAGATGATTTTTTTAATCGAGCTGCATATTTTCTATGTCCTGGAAGTTTTTTATTTCTTCTTTCATTAATATCTTTATCTTTTAAGCGTGTAATTCGTAAGTTTCCTCTTAACATTTTTTGTTGCCATTCCACTGATTTCATAATAGCTTCAAGATGAGTTCCCTGCGTAATTTCTGCAGAATAAAATATTAAAAAAAATTATAAATATAAATTTTCAATATCAATTTCCTCTATTATGTTATTACATTATAAACATTATATTAAAAATTAAAGCTTCTTAATAAAATATATAAATAAAACATATACATATATATTTTTATTTACCATCAGGAAATGATAAAACAGGATGAAAACTAGGATCAACAAGTGCAACTCTTTCTTGTACTGACATTTGTTCAATTGGTTCTTGTGGTTGCATTGGATCTAATCTTCCAGTACATAAAGCACATGGTGGTAATACATGATCACAATTGCATCTTACTGTTGATGCTTTTGCAGCACGTTTCGAGACTTCATGTAATTTATCTAATTGTAATAATTTTCTTTTCCTATAAAAACTCCACACAAACGGCCGAGTCCTACTAGCTGGTAATTCACCTTCAGGTGAATTATAACGTCCTGTAGAACCTGGTAAAACACCACTATAGCCATTCACTGTTTCTGCATTATCAAGTATCACTAATCCTTTATTAGCTCTAATATGCCGTTGTAATTCATTATGCTGCCTAATCCTATATTCCAAATCCGATATTTGTGCTTGCAACCATGTCCATCTTGCTGCTACACCTGCACGATCTTGAGCATACCTCCATGCTGCTCTCTTTGATCTATAAGTGATATTGTTAAAAATGAATAATTAAATACTTTAAAAATTTAATCAATTAAATTTTAAAAAATATATTCATATTGATTTATTTTAAATCAAAATTAAAAATATTTTATTTGTTAATTAACATATATTTATGCATTTTTATAATTATTTTTGCAAAAAATATATAACTATATTATATATACTATAAATATCAATATATAAATATATACTTATAAAAATATATAAGATATTATATTAAATATTATTAAATAAAACTTTAAAACCGACCAAAAATATTATTCGGTTTTAATTTTTATAAATTTAAATTTTTTTCAGGAACAAAAATATGTTAAAAATAAATGTTAAAACAAGATATCAACAATGAATTTCATATTAAGAAATATAATATATCATAAGAAGAAAACTATATAAACTAGTTTAATTTTAATTTTACATCACATTTCCATTCTATTAAAATTATAAAATAAATAGAATGGTCCCAAAACTAAAAATTAATTTTTTCTTGATAAAAAATATAAAAACTCACATAGATATACTTTGCTGATGTGGATTGTTAAATGTCTGCATTTCATCACAACTTTCTCCACCACTACTGGATGCAGTACAATCGGAGTCAAGATTAGATTCCACAACATGTAATTGTGTAGCTAAAGGTCCAGCCACACTTTCTACTTCTTCACCTTTAATTTTAACTTGAGGAGTACCAAACACTGATTGGCGGTTGCTGTTACCGGAAGTACTACTCAAATTATCACGTGATCCATCACCAAAATACCGGCAACATAATCGCTGACGATTCACACTATTACTCTGAGCAACACACATTTTTTCAATTTTTTGCAAAAAGGAACTCAAACTACTACTAATTTCAGGAAAGTTTCTAACATTAGATTTAGAACTGATATTAACTAATTCTTGAAAAAGATATTTTTTTACTCCATGATGAGCAAGTTCAAGAACTCCAGTATTTTCTTCAGCAACATGCCTGCCTATTATTCTTGCTTGAAGCTTTCTCAGTCTTCTTAATAAAAATGCACATTTCCTTTCACTCTCGTGTTGTTTTTGGGCAACATCTTGCTGTAACTTCAATGTATTCACTTTATGTTGGTCCACTGCATCAGCAATATTGCAAATACTTATAACATCAACATCAAGTAAATCTCTTTCAAAAGATGAAAATCCTTCTTCAGGCATAGAAAACATTTCAACTCCATCAACTGTACTTTGGACTGGTTCACTACTACCTGCAGATATATTTTCTGCATTCTCCACATCCTCAATGGATTTAATTACTTGTAAAATTTCCTCAACATTTTGCCCAATATCCCCAACATTACTAATATTACATTGTTCATTATCTGTAGTTATGTCGCTACCAAAGGCCATTATTTGATCCACATCCAGATTTTTATTGTCTCCTGCTGTTTCTGAGCCCACCAAAGGCAAGTCTGCGCTTGATTTTAAGAAACCCATATTGTCCGCTTGATCACCCATAGATGGGTCGTTCATTATAGTATCAGTCACCTTTTTTTCTGGACTGCCCAGAATGTCCAGTTGTTCACAGTCCTCCTTTATTAGTACTTTCTTTGTAATCAAGTCAGATCCGTGCGTAAATGTAGACAAGCTATCAAGATCATTGGCATATTTCGAGTTGATGACATCACGAATGAGATCCTTAGAGATACCATGTAAACACTGCTCGTCGATCTTTGATGGTTGAACGTTTGCAGAAACAACAAATTTTGCCAGAATTTCACGATTCTGACACACCTGCGTAGCCTGCTCTGGGGAAAGAAATCCACCAGCTGGAAGGGAAGGGAGCAAATTTTCAGGCTTTTGAGGACCACCTTCCGTCAGAGCAGGGGCCATCACTGCCACTGACACTGCCAGTGCTGCAGCCTCGACATCCAGAGGCTCCCACGTGCGTACGCACCCACACCTACACTTCACATGTGCTGTGCTCACTCCCATTCATCCATTACTAATTTATTGTCCTGCACTTGTATTGCTATCTTTCAATATAATTTCTTTTTTTCTTTTGTCTTTTTTTTCTCTTGTACCATAAATTCTTTTTTCATTCATTCCATATTAAATATTATGTTGTTTCAACAATAATTTCCATTGTGTTTAATTTCTTCATTTTTGTTTCATTTGTATGTTTTGGACCAATTCATAACATTAACCTGTAAATAAATTATACGAAATGAATATTTTTATAAAAAATATTTTTTGTAAATATTTTAAAATTATTTTATTTTAACTCCAAAATTAATTTATGTAAATAATCTATGTAATCTATGTAATCTATGTACATATTTTAAAAAATTAATTTTCTAAGGTACATATACATATTGCAATTATAATAAAAGCAATGTTCATTAATTATTTAATAAATAATAAAAAAACTTTTTATTAATATTATATATATTATAATATTTAATATGTAATATACACAAAAATATAAAAACGAATATATCTAGAAATATATAACACATAATATAGAAGATATATTTATATCTAAAAAAATATTATTATATTATTATATTACATAACATAAAAATTAAATAACAATATTAATTTATTTTTCAACATTCACATGTTTATAAGATATAAATTGCCTATCAATCATTATTAAACAAGTACTAATAAAAAAAACTATATAAAAACTATATAAATACTAATAAAATATATATGTAAAATAAATGATAATAAAAAGATTATACTAATGTATTATTATATATTAAAAATCAATTTTAATCAAGTAATTAATATTCAATAGTATATGTACCATTGATTAATATTATATAAACTATCGTCAAATATACAAACAAGAAAAAAGAGCTCAGAATACTTAATAAAGAACTAGTAATTTAATAAAGAAATAAGAACATGAAATTCTTCTTACCTTATATTTTTTGCTTGCAAAAAGGAAGCACGTTTAAAATCGCAGATTATTCAGAGCGATATTTTTTGTAAAGGCAACATCCAAACACACAAAATAAATCAAGAGGAACGTCAGAAAGGCAAGATCGTTCTTCCCACGAAGATATAATTTAGTATATTGGATCACTATTTTCGAGCGATGAACTTCGAACGTAAAGTAAGTTGAGGCGGTAAGTGGCTGCCGGCGAACGATAACAACGCGTTATTAAAAAATTGGAATGCGATGAAATAAGATAGTATGCATGAAAGAAAATTTTGAACACTCACGAAAACTAACGAAATAACGAAAGAGAAAAATGTGTCAAGTAAAGGAAAAAAGATTGAAGATAGAAGAAAGAAAATATATATTCAAAGGTAAAAATTTAGGTTCGGTATTATGATATAAAATATCGCACATAATTACACTAAATATCACTACCAAATATATGTTGTCGTAGAGATTAATAACAGGTATGCTTGCATCGTTTGACGCATTCCCACGTGATTACTCGTCGCAAAATATAGAAAACAGCAGCAGTGGTGGCGGCGGCGGTAGCGGCAACGACAGCGTTTCCTCGTCGTGGCACAGAATTAAAAAACAAAGATAAAAACATGCCGCACAACACCACCGCCGTCTTCGTCCTCAACAGAGGAGGCAGTTCTTTCTCGTCAGCTGCACGTCTATTGCATAATGACGCGCAAGATTTGTATCCCCGGCAAAGGCACTAGTATACAAATCACTTGGCGTCTTCGTCAATGTCCACGTACGCGAAAAACTTTTACACATGCGACTTCCGTAGAGATGTCGAAGGCATCGAGAATATAATACAAAAGGGAAAGAGAGTGAGAAAGAAAATGAGAATTGTATGTGTGTATGTGTGTATGTATATATCGAGAAAGAGCAAAAAAAGATAGAAAAAGAAAGAGAACGCGCAATAAAGAAAGAGAGAAAGAAAGAGAGAGAAGACACTAACGTGCTTCGCCTCGTGAATAGCGTAACCACGAGACGTGCGTTAACGCGGACGTAGGCGCGTTTACACGCTTGAACAGCGATCAGTTGAAAAAAATGTAGTTGAACAAGAACACACGGATAAACGAGGCAAGCGGCTTCCTTCGCGGTACTCTTGTAGCGTACAATGGCGGAGCAAAAAACAGATTCGAAGGCTGCTTCTTTTGGGCAGTTTCCCCTCCTATAACGCTCACCTCACTTCGGGGGCGCTCGACATAATCGCACATACACCCATGAGAATCACGAATAATCGAATGTTCTTGTGCACTACGCAACACGACACGACTTTCATGCAATTCGCACGGATATAAATGTCCGTCACACCCAATGCACGATAATCCCTTGACTGATTTCTCGTTACAAGCAACGCGCGTACTCCTAACCGTTTTGCGTCTCTCGGTATGTACGTGATTCCGACAGTACAGACTTTCTCTTTTTAAATACGAATACCGATGTCGATTTTGGTAAAAGTCACACGAGCAACACGAGCTATTTATCAATAATATATAGGAAATTCAACCAACTTCGCTGTTGCTGAAGCGGGATCGACCAATACTGCAGTGCTGCTGCCGGATGTGGCCTTCGTGCCACGCTGCCCAATCGGATTCATTTTCTATCTATAATGTCGGCGGTAAAGTCCAATTCGCAGCTCGATATATGAATACTAACGAAAAACCCTAGATTCAGAACATTATTTTTCCCGCTTATTCTATACAACATATCTATTACTATACGCAAATTGTAAGTTTATGTGTCGGAATTATAGCGTCATGTTTAAAATAAACATAGGAATTATTTATTTTTTATACAATTTAATTAATTTTATATAATTAATTTATTTTCCATTAAAAATATTGAATAATAATTCTAATATGATAAATATATGATAAAAAAAATTGTAATTTTTACAACTTATTATATAAAATATTATATGATGATATGTGAAACATTAAAATAAGCTTATTTTCATTCTAATTTGTAATTCTATATTATAATAAATATTTAATATACAATAAATTTTATATTTGTTAATATTAAATACATGATAAAAATAATAGCCAAGAATTATTGAAAAATAAAATGAAATATTATTATAAATTATCAATATTTAATTTTTATATTGATTTTATTTAAATAAAATGCACAAATGTTTATATATTGAAAAATTTTTTATTCAATATACTATTATAAAATATTTTAATTGCTACGTATTGGTTTAATTATCATTAGTTTCGTTAGATGGCGAGATAAATATAACAGTATTAGTACTGTTAACGTTGTATATAGAGTAATATTTTTGGATATGATAAATATAAAAATATCTAAAATAATATAATGTAAAATTAAAAAAAGAATATATATAAAATAATTAATATTAAATATTTAAAAATTTAACAAAATGGATATTGCTAAATCATTATTTAATGTTCGTGATCATGAAGGTTATATTGGTAAAGAAGACTATAATGTTAGTGTTTATTTAATTTTCATGTATTTTTAATTTAATTTTATTATAATTTAATTTAATTAATTTTTATTTACACAAATAAAATGCAATATTAAAATATGATATTTATAAAAATACATATAGTTTTATAAAATAATTAAACTTTAATAATATTAATAAAAAAAATATACATCTGTTAACTGCATATTATTGATATAAAATTATTGAATATTTTTATATTTTAGAAAAAATTAGAAACTGCTGCTTCTGAAGATGAATTTGAAATAGAAATTACAGGATTATGTGGAGAAATTTTATCTCCTGCACCAGGAGGTCCATTTTCTGCTTTGACACCATCTATGTGGCCTCAAGATATTTTAGCTAAATTAAATCAACCTGATGATCCTAATTCACAACCTGAGTATAGGTATTTATTATAAATTTCTTAATAAAAGATATTATTTCAGTATATAATAATTTAATATAATATATATTAGATTTGATGAATTTGGATTTCGTGTAGAAGAAGAAGATGGTCCAGAACAAAGTTCAAAAAAATTATTAGGTATTCCATTTGTTGAAGATCCTCAACATAGGTATAGAGAGAATAAAATTAAAAAATGAATTAATTATGAAATTAAAAAAAATAATGTAATTTTTATATGCTTAGATTACAATGGGTTGCTCTCTTAGAATTCAGTCATAATAAAGAAGTAACTGAATTTTCTTGGCAAAATATGGATACAAGATTACCACGTACAGATAAATTGCGAGATATGGTTCATCATGGTGTACCTCATTCTCTTAGACCACAAATTTGGATGAGAATGTCAGGTATATTACAATTTTTACACTCAATTACAATTTTTTTAATATTGCAGATTTATAGCATGTATCTTATAATATATTTAAGTATACATTATAAAATAAATATTAATTTTATTTTATATTGCAGGAGCACTTCAAAAAAAAATGTTCTTCTGAAATAATGTATAAAGATATAGTTAAAGCATCAAGTAATGATGCATTAGTAACTAATAAACAAATTGAGAAAGATTTATTACGAATTATGCCAGCCAATGCATGTTTTAGTCATCTTCATAGTACAGGAATACCACGTTTAAGACGTATTATGCGTGCTCTTGCTTGGTTATATCCTGATATTGGGTAATTATATTTTTACAAAATAACATTAAAATATTCTTCAATGATTATATTATTTATTTTTTTTTTAAGATATTGTCAAGGTACAGGAACAATAGCAGCTTCTTTACTATTATTATTAGAAGAGGAGGATGCTTTTTGGATGATGGCTACAATAGTAGAAGATTTATTGCCAGCATCTTACTATTCTTCAACATTATTAGGTAATAAACTAATAATATATTCAGTTAATAAATTAATATAAGAATTGATTTTAACTTAAAAATATTTGATATAGGTATTCAAGCTGATCAAAGAGTACTTCGAACATTAGTGGCTAATTATCTTCCTGATATAGACCATGTTTTGGTTCAACATGATATAGAACTAAGTTTAATATCTTTACATTGGTTCTTAACTTTATTTGCATCTGTTGTACATAAAAAAATATTGCTTCGTATATGGGATATGTTTCTTTTTGATGGATCTATAGTTTTATTTCAAGTTACCCTTGGAATGCTAAAGATTAAAGGTATATATATATATATATCATTGTTAATTAATATATTTATGAATATGATATATTTCGGAAAATATTTAACATTGTTTTAGAACATGAATTAAAACAAGTAGAAAATTCTGCACAAATATTTAATGCTCTTTCGGATATACCTGGAGATATTGACGATGTAGATTTATTATTTAAAGTAAGTTTGATTTTGTATTTATTATTAATAAATGAGCTATAATTTTTTTATATTTGTAATAATAATAAATTTTTATAACCGAAAATTATCTTTTCATAGATATCTTTAGAAGTAAGTGGATCATTAACAGACGTTTTGATCGAAACTCACAGACGTAGACATTTGGCCTATTTAATGGCAGATCAAGGTGGTTTAGTGGGTAATCCTGATGCTGTACCAAATTTACCAAAACAACATCTTAATAGGTATATTCAATTTGCAGAATTTAATTACGCATATTTAATTAGAAATTTAATTAGAATATTCAAAATAATATAATATTTCATTTATAACTATTATAATGATCTGTGTTTCCTTAAAGACGTCAAATGAAAAGAAATAAATCAATGTTTCAAACGTTTTTATTTGGAAGTTATGATACTGAAGATGATGCAAAATCAAAAAATATTCGTCAAACAGGTATTAATTAATTTTACAAAAATATTTTTTTATGTTATATCTGAATGTTTAAAAAAAAATTTAAACAAAATAAAAATACAATATAAATATTTTAGAAATATTGGTTGATCTAAGAGAAGCTGTTTTACAAGTTGCAAGACATTTTATAAATGTTGATCCAAAATTAAGTAATATTGTGCTTGTAGCAGATTATAGTATGGAAAGTCATGCAAAAGATCATGATAATTATGTGAATGTATCACGGACTAGAAAAAGAAGAGCTAAAGCATTATTAGGTATTTTTAATAACAAATATTTACATTATATTTTATATATTTATCTTATATATTACATCTTATATATGTATATAAATATACATAATATACATAAATTGTACATATTATTATAAGAAAAATTAATTTTATAAATTTCATGATTATGATTATATTAGATTTTGAAAGACATGATGATGATGAATTAGGATTCCGAAAAAATGATATAATTACAATTATAAGTCAAAAAGATGAACATTGCTGGGTAGGAGAACTTAATGGATTAAGAGGATGGTTTCCTGCAAAATTTGTAGAACTATTAGATGAAAGAAGTAAACAGTATACATGTGCTGGAGATGATGCAGTTAGCGAAGCTGTTACTGATTTAGTAAGAGGAACCTTGTGTCCAGCTATAAAAGCAGTATTAGAACATGGAATGCGTAGACCATCATTTTTAGGTGGTCCATGTCATCCATGGCTTTTTATTGAAGAAGCTTCAACTAGAGAAGTAGAAAAAGATTTTAATTCAGTTTATAGCAGATTAGTATTATGTAAAACATATAGATTAGATGAAGACGGAAAAGTGCTTACACCTGAAGAGGTAATATATATTTATATTTTTATTTTAAATTATTCAATTTAAATTTTTACATAATTATATAATTATGTAATTTTATGTAATTATATAATAATTATATAATTTTATTTCAGTTACTATATCGATGCGTTCAATCAGTAAATTTAACACATGATAATGCACATGCACAAATGGATGTGAAATTACGATCCCTCATTTGTTAGGTTTAAACGAACAAGTGTTACATTTATGGCTTGAAGTTTTATGCTCTTGCGTAGAAATTGTGCAAAAATGGTAATAAATATTATAAAAAATAATAATAATGATTTAATATCATGTAATTTATAATATCATATCATTAACTTACACATTATTTATGTACATAATTTATGTGTTATTAATTTTACAGGTATCAGCCATGGAGTTTTATAAATAGTCCTGGCTGGGTACAAATTAAATGTGAATTAAGAATATTAAGTCAATTTGCATTTAATTTAAATCCTGATTGGGAATTACCACCCAAGAAAGAACAATCTCAACCTCTAAAAGATGGTGTTCGTGATATGTTAGTTAAACACCATTTATTTAGTTGGGATCTTTAGCGCATAATATAAAAAAATTAACAATTTTTGTATTAAAGCTTTCATATATATCACAATAATACAAGATAATTGTGTAGTACAAATCAATTGTTATTATGTATGTTAGACTATGTATTGTATGTGTGGATATATGTGAATATATGTATGCGTATGTATTATAGAAATTTGATGCTATAATATTTCTATATTTTTATTGTTTATATAAATTATTTAAATTTTATTATTTAATTAAAGTAAATATCAAGAAATTTTAATAATTAAAGTTTCAATTTTATTAATTGCTAATAATAAAAATGAATTGTATATAAATATATTTATATATATACATATGTTATATATTGTTAATTCTATTTTAAAAAAAAAAGTCGTTAAATAAATGAAATCATTGTATGAATTACATTAAAATCAATATGATAAATAAGATTGATGTTTATATTATTACTAAAAAAAAAATAGAAGTACAAAATTAAAGCATTAGTTGATTTGAATATAACTATACTTAGAGTCATATTTGAAGTTTGAAGTCATTTAATATATAAAATTTTAATATATGTATACTATACATATATTAAAATATGTATACTATACAAAAAATAGCATATTATTTATTCATAAAATTTAATTTTCATACTTTGTTATATAACAAAAAATGAAACAATTCTGAATATATATTGTAAAAAATGTGAAATCTTTATCCTTTATGATATAAATTGATATAATTTGATGATATAATTTAATTCTTAAAACATGTACATTTTAATATCTAACTGATTGTATGATTTTACTATATCTTTTTCATTGACAGTATTTTAAAAATTTTCAATAATAAGTTGTATATATAAATATTATTTATTTATGTTTAAATTTTAATGCATATAAATATTTAATAAAAATATACATTTTTTAAATTTTTGATATGATATAAAAAATTTTATTTTATGAAATTTATTATGATGGAAAATCTTTATCCTTTAAAAGATTTTTAAGCGGAAATTTTCTATCTCTACGACAACATGGATCTCTTAAATTATCATCAATAATTTTTATATTAAGTTGTTCATCCTTTTTGATCATAATTTCTGGTTTTTCTAAAAGTTTTTTCCATTCAAAAGATTCTCTTCTATATAAATTTTTATATGCTTCAATAGTTGAAGGATCAATATGTAAGTCATGTGCATCTAAAGTATTATCAAATATTTCTTCTTCAATATCTAATTTACATTCACAATTGCGTTTTTTTACATAAATAAAATGTAAATCCATAACATTAGTACCAGTAAAGCCAGTTTTAAATAAATCTGAACCTTTCCTAAACCGAGAATATAAATTATATGAATTATTATCTTCTAATGTATTTTCAGGTAACATACGTTCTACTTCCATTGTTTGAAATATTAATGGAAGTACAATATTCTCATAATCCATATTTTCATTTTTGTCAGAATCAACTTTTTCTTCTGTTGTCTCTGTTTTTTTAGCTCTTAAATAACCACTTAATTCTTGTGTTTTGCATATTTCTTTATATTTCTTTATATCAAATTGTTCTTTTTCTTCTTTCTTTTTTCTTATAGCCTCTTTGTTTTCCTCTACTTTAACCATCATTTTTGAAGCTATAGATTTTACTTTTGCATATATATCATAGATTAATGGTCCAATAGCAGGATAGCCAAATGCACCTGCTGCATCTGTTGGACCATCTTGACCATCTGTTCCTGCACTTAACATTATTACTTCATATTCCGAAAATCGAGGATAAGCTTTAATTTTTGCCAACCAATCTAGGGAAAAATATAATGCTAATTCTTGATTTCTACCACCTTTTCCTTTTCCTTTAACAACTACAGTTGGCTCTCCTCCTCCAATTAATACTAATCCTTCTTCACTCACATTATCAATTAAATTATAAATTTCATCTACTTTAGTAACAGATAAAGAAAGTATAGGAATATCTTTTACTTTTGCAAAAAACTCTTCTTTTTCTAATGTTTTATCTAATGCAAGACATATTAAACTTGTTATATGAGCATATGCTAAACTAACATCATGTACATCACCTACAACATCAGATCTTAATATTATAGGAGTTAATTTATAATTATATGCTTCTAAAGAAGATGCTTCAATTGCCACTGTATTATTTCCTAAGATAATATTAGTTACATGTTTGAACTGTTTTTTTCTAGTTAATAATTGTTTATCTTTAAATTTTTCTGTAGACATTAAAATTTTTTTTACATCACCTTCTAAATGTTCAAATATTTTATATTTCTTCAATACAGCTATTACTTCTTTTGGTCTTTTAGGACTATATACTGTAGGACCACTAGCAATCGATTCTATAGGATCGCCTACAATATCAGACAATATCAAGCTGATAATTGAAGCTGGATAAGCCATTCGAGCCAAACCACCACCTTTTACCATAGATAATTTGCTTCTCACTATATTAACTTCTTTGATATCACCTCCAGCATTTTGAACCATTTTACTTACATATAATTTATCTTCAAAATCAATTACTGGTCTTGGCATATAAAGTAATGCAGAACCACCACCAGATATTAATACAATTAAAGTATCATTTTCTGTAAGTGATTCTACTAAGTCTATAATTTGATGTGTTGTTTCTAAAGATCTTTCATCTGGTTGATTATTTATAGAACCTTCACAATATTTTACTACACCACTTTCTAATAAAGGAAAATATGATTTATCTTCAGATTCCCACATTGCTTCTGTTGATGCAGAAGGAATACTAACAATACCATCCTTCAAATAATTGCCAAGCATATGTTCAAGAACTATTGCCATACCCATGACTGCTTTGCCAAATCCAATTAAATAAACATTTTTTTTAAGTTCAAAACTTTGATCTCCAACATATAATATTCCATTTTTAAATTTAACTTTATTTATTATAAGAGTTTTTGGTAAAACTGCATTAACACCAGCAAAATACATATTTTTTAATATAGATTTAGATTTTTCTAAAGATTTTATATTTAATGACATTTTTCTACATGTGAATTTTATAATGTTTAGGTTAGATAGAAAAAAAATTGGACTACTGAAACAAAGTTAAAAATAATCGTGAATGTATGCAATAAAATATTTGTATTATTAGAAATAATTAAAATACTTATTACGTATATACCTATATTGCGTGAATTTATGTAATATTTTTTTATAGTACATTTCTGTACTATACTACAAGAATTATAAACACATCATTACGAAACAACATTCAGATAGATATATTCAATAAAAATTACTTTAATTTTATGTATGTACTATTTCGAATATATTTTAATATTAAACTTTTAATTTGTTAAATATTTATTTTAGATTAATATCTTTAATTATATTTAATTTTAATAAATTATATTATAAATATTATAAATATATAAAAAGCATTTTAAATTTAAATGCATAATATATAAATACTACATATAACTTTGATACAAAATTACTGTTTTATTAATATATATTTAAAAATTTACAAATTAAAAATTACACATATTTTTACTTCAAAATTATACTAAATCATATTATATGTACACATATTATATATAAAAAAAGATAAATTGATAAATTATAAAATCAAATTTTATTATATATCTTTAAAATTAATACAATATTTAATACTTTATTGATTATTGAATTATTTTGAAATGTATGTATATATTGAAATATATGAAAATTTAAATTTAATAATATTAAATAATAAATTTTAAGAGATGCTCCTTCGTTTATATTTTGTGGCTCTTAAAAGAGCCGTTTTGTTTGGAACTGTATTGGAAATATTTAACCACCAAATCCATAAAGTGTTCTTCCCTGACGCTTCAGAGCATAAACTACATCCATGGCAGTTACAGTTTTCCTTTTTGCATGTTCAGTATATGTAACAGCATCACGGATAACGTTTTCAAGAAATACCTTAAGTACTCCTCGAGTTTCTTCATAAATCAAACCAGAAATTCGTTTTACACCACCTCGTCTAGCTAAACGTCGAATGGCAGGTTTCGTGATACCTTGAATATTATCACGAAGTACTTTTCTATGTCTCTTTGCTCCTCCTTTTCCCAATCCTTTTCCTCCCTTTCCACGACCAGTCATGATGAAACTTTACTTCCGTACGAAAGATTTCGTTTTTCGATTCTCAAATGTATATTTTACAACATAGAACTCGTGTTTATATAGTGAGCTTCGTTCATGTATTTTCCCACCACTTCGTTATCAACCAATTACAGCAGTTTCTTGTCATACCAGTTGCTTGCAATTAAATCCCATATAACTAACCGGTAAAAAGCAATTGTTGTACAGTCAAGATGAACATCTGCTACGTACGGAATAACCATTTTATTAAACCGGTTTCGATTTTACATGAAAAGCACGATTTTACAGAATATATTTATTTTAACTAGTATTTGAAAGATCATTATTTTTATATTAATTATTCATATTTATTTCATTCGCATTTAATATAGAAAAGAAATATATATATAACACATGCATACACATGCATATTTGAAATTTTCTATATTTCTTGAAAATTAATTAGATCTTACACTAGTTGATAAAATAATATATTAGAAAGTAATATAAAAAAAATTTTTTAAGAGTTCAAAAGCATTATAATTAAAAGTTTAATTATTCTTTTTTTCTGAAATATAAATACTTTTTATTTGCATACATTGAAATTTTACATGAATAGCATAAAAAATTATAAATACTATTCGATTTTTTTCTATTAAAAATAATAATGTAATAGATAATAATTTTTTTAACTTTCAACGTTATAAGATATGTGTATTAATAATATATATTCAAATATAATTTATATATGACGAAGTTTCTTTGATTTAACTTCTTGTTTATAGAGATATTTTAAAAATTTAATTCAAAACTATAATATTATCATCTTTAAGCAAAATTTAATTGTGAAAAATACTAAATAAAAGCAATTCAAAAAAATTTTATTTTCAAATAAAAGGATTGTTTTTATTTTATGAAAAGAAGTAAATACATTTATTTTTTTCAAATTTGAAATTTTATGAGATTTTGATTTGTTTTGATTTGTTTCTGTGATTTTCAATAATTAAAAAAATTGAATATAATATGTATAACGATTTATCTATATTTTTAAAAAATATTATACAATTATATATATAATATCCAATATAATTTAATTTCCAATATAATTAATATCCAATTAATATCCAATTAATATCCAATATAATTTCATAGAATATACAATAATTTGTTTTAAATAAGCTTTTTTGGATAACAAATTATATGATAGCCTCTATATTATTCTATATTAAAATTATTACATTAATATGTTTAATCTGATATGATTTAGATACAATTAAAAAATATCATGAAAAATATATTTTTGTATAAAAATATTAAATGAAAGTTTCGAAATAATCAATAATACTTTTAAAATGATATGTCGTTTTTAAAATTTTTACTGAACAGTATGATTAAGTAATTATGAAATAATATTGCTGTTTGCTATAGTTTGCTTATGTATACACATTAAATTTAATATACATTCTAATATTAAATTGCTATAATTTGAAAAAAGCTCTAATTAATATTTTTTATTTTATCTTTTATGTCTTTTACATTTCGATATTAGAATTGATTTTTTAAAGATATTTTCTAATTATATATAAATATATTATAAATATTTAAACATGTGATTCAAAAAAAATATAAAAATTAAAAAAAATAAAAATTTTAAAATTTAATTGTATTTATATTAAATATATGTATATTAATATCTTATCATTATATAAAATTTTTTGAATTATTATAACGATTTTTCACGTGATATTAGAGATTACTTTGTTAGAACTTTAAGATTTCTGATTTTTGTTTACCAGATGAAGTGCAGTTATTTATTTTATTTTACAAGGAATCTGAAACATCTGTTACAATAACTATAATTTTAACCTAAAACATTCTAAATATGTATTCAATTCAATTTACAAAAATATAATTAATAATAATGTATTCATTTTTATTTTTATTTGTTATAATTTTAAAATATTTTATAAATTAATTTCTGAAACTTCATATTAACGATCTATTTGTTAAAATGCAAATATAAATGTTTATAAATTATAAATATAATATTCAAAGATAAATGATTAAAAATATAACTGAAATTTTTCAATTTTATAGATTTGTATGAAAAAAAAGATCATAGAAGATTAAAATTCAATCAAAAATATTTAAAATTATTAAATAATCTATCTAATATAAATGGAAAAATAAGGTAAATTGAAAGTAAAAACCGAAAAGTTCCTTTAGTTTTAAAATAATTTGTGGCCCTGAAAAGGGCCATTTAATAAGTTTACTTTATGTTTCTTTTTTGATTTTTCTTGGCAAAAGCACTGCTTGAATGTTCTGCAAAACACCTCCTTCACTTATAGTAACTCCAGATAATAATTTATTCAATTCTTTATCATTATGAATAACAAGTTGCACATAATGGTATAATTCTAAATTTTTTATTATTTCGAATTATATTTTCTATTAATTTCAGAAATTTTCAGCAGCCAGATAGACAAGAGCGCCAAAACCAATACATTCAGCACAATTATCTCTTCTTAGAAGTCTATGAATACAACTGACTGGAAATTTAAGTTCTGTTTTAGTCAAACAAAATGATTTTTCTTTTTCTTTTATTTTTCCTCCTTTACCACGACTAGACATTTTAGATTATATATACTTTTTTAATAACATATATGTATTTTATTTAATTATATATTGACCATTGTGATCTAATACATATTGCCATCTTTTAGGTAATAGCATAATTCCACGCTCATAAAACTTTTTATCTTTGTTTGCAAAAAACTGATCCAAGTGGTTTTTGACATCCTCATTTGAAGTAAATGTTTTGTCATCTAAAGAATTTTGTAAAGATCGAAACAGGTGGTAATCTGATGGTGCCAGATCTGGCGAATATGGTGGATGTGGTAGCACTTCCCATCCAAGCTGTAACAACTTCTGGCGAGTCATTAAACTCATATGAGGTCTAGCATTATCATGATGAAACACTACACCTTTCCTGTTAATTAATTCAGGTCTTTTTTGTTTGATGGAATCGTTTATTTTGTCTAATTGATTACAGTACACTTCTGAATTAATCGTACAATTGTTAGGTAGAAGTTCAAAAAAAACAACTCCCTTGAAATCCCACCAAACAGAGAGCATCACTTTTTTTTGGTAAATGTTGTTTTTCGAAGTGTTTTGCGCCGGATCATTTAACTCTCGTTTAATATTGTCGTAAACGATCCACTTTTCATCTCCAGTTACGATTCGCTTTAAAAATGGATCATTTTCTTCACGTTTGAGTAGCAAATCACAGATATCAATGCGACGGAGTAAATCTCTTTCTTTAAGAACGTGTGGAACCCAAATATCAAGCTTCGAAACGAAACCAAGTCGTTTCATGTGATCATAAACAGTCGAATTTGACAAATTCAATCTCGTAGCAATTTCTCGAGTTGTTATTCGTCGGTTTGCTTCAATTAGTGCCTTTATTTTGTCTTCATCAGCTTCAACTGGTCTTCCAGAACGTGGCGCATCTTTAATGTCAAAATTGTCGGAACGAAATTTTGAAAACCAATTTTGACACTGGCGTACTGTTAATACACTTTCTCCATAGATTTCACATAACTTTTTTCTTGCCTGAACAGCATTCTTACCTTTTCGGTAATAAAAAAGTAAAATATGCCGAAAATGCTCCTTTTGATCTTGCATCTTTGTTATCACACACGAAAAACACAACTACACAGAATGAAACGAATTTTTCTTATAAATAAACCATGAAATGCTAACTCTCAAAATATAATAACAACACGGTTTACAATGAGGTTAACTAAATAAACATTCAATTTGTTACTGTGACATTTGTTGCTGAAAAAACGAAATTACTTTCCGAACAATCCATACAAAATAAAATTAGCAACAAGAACAGCAACATTACAAGAACTCCCTTGGATGAAAGCTGTAGAACGAATATGTTTAGCGTTTTTATATAAGAATCTGTGATAGCTTGTTTTGACCAATGACTGATGATCAGCATTCTCATTGGTTTGTATCTACAATAGTTTTATGATCTGTTATTTTATATTATTTTTATAAGTTAATGATCTTTTATATTAATAATATATTTAAAATTTTCTAATTCTATCTAAATCTAATTCTTCATTAATAACTATTTTTTAAAATAATATATAAATTCCTTAAAATATTTAAATATAAAATATTTAAATATTGATTAAGTAATTAAAAATCATTATTTCTTTACGATCTTTATTTTTTATATTTTTATATGTGTTTTGTAAATATAGTTATATTTTAAAATATTTAATTTATTATATTTTTTATATTTAAATATATATTATAAATATTTGTATCTATATGAATAATATAAATTTTATTTCACAATAATCAATTAATAAATTATATATTATTGCAATATTAAAAATTATTGAAAATAAATAGTATATTAAATTTTTCTAAATTTAATATTAAATCATTGTTTAATGTATATTATAGAAAACTTCTAAAAATAATTTTTTTTCATTAATAGTTAGTTATAAAAATATTTAAATACGTAATATATTTTTAATTATTGATATATGTAATTAATTTATTATAATTAATTTATTAATTTATTAATAAATTAAAGCTAAACATTTCTTTTATGCAATTTTTTAAGATTTTTAAGATTTTGTCATCTGTGTAATTTTAATTCGTTTTATGTTTTTTATTATTAAAAAGAAAGTAACATATAATAACTTAAAAATTTTTATTTATAAAAAAATAAACTTAGAAATATATTAGATACGTTATGCATAAAAATCAATCGTATTATGAGAATATAACGGTAGCATCAACGCAAGCACCAATCATATCGTATAAAAATGTTAACGATTCCATTTTGATTTCTTATTGGTTGAACGTTGCTTATACTCTGGTATATGAAAGGAACACGCTATCCATGGCAATCATTGTATCGTTTGCTCAATACATGGTACGAATATACTGAACTTTGAAAACTTGACGACATTCAACTTTATCATGCCGCCGAAAGTTAGTGGAAAAGCTGTGAAGAAAGCTGGTAAGGCACAAAAAAATATTAGTAAAGCTGACAAGAAAAAAAAGAGAAGAAGGAAGGAAAGCTACGCTATTTACATTTACAAAGTGCTTAAACAAGTGCATCCTGATACTGGTATATCCAGCAAAGCAATGAGTATCATGAACAGTTTTGTGAATGATGTTTTCGAACGAATTGCAGCAGAAGCATCAAGATTAGCACATTACAATAAACGATCTACTATTACTTCTCGCGAAATTCAAACTGCTGTGAGACTTTTATTACCTGGTGAATTAGCAAAACATGCAGTCAGTGAAGGTACCAAAGCAGTCACCAAGTATACCAGCTCAAAATAAGCAACATTTTGTTGTTTAAAAAAAACGGTCCTTTTCAGGACCAACAAATTTTAATTACGTGGAACATTTTAAAGTTTTTAAACATACATAATTCAATACATTAATTGTTAAATCCTATTTTTTATTTTTTAATATTTATTATTTTTTCATATTTACAAAATTATATAAATTTAATCAAATTTATTTTAATTACTATTAGTTATTTATAATATAAAATGATATAATAATTAAATTTTATTATATGCATGATATATATATATATATATATATATATATATATATATATAATATATTATTATATT